TAGCGCCACGTCCACCTTTATGCAGATAAACGTACGTAGTCATTGTGCATAAAGACATAACATACATATAAATTTGGTACTTAATACAGTGTTAAAACTACAGCTATTCTGTGGTGTTGGTAGTTGGTGCCAAACACTGAATTACTATGCATCTAAATGGCTGACTAAGTATGGCACAAGTCTGTGTCAAGGTCGCCAGTTTATCCATTCTAAAAGCCCTATTTTTCTAACCAAGTGCCCATGTTTTATCAAAACCTTACAGACGACTGGTCGATTGGTCGACGGAAGGTTAATGTGTAACCCTTCTGTAAAGGGACAGGAGGTCAGTTAATGCTCCGGAGAGCCAGTCTGTCCACAGGCGCACTGGCTATGCCTACTAGTACTATAGTACTATACTTAATATTAGTACACGTTACACACCAATTTTGCAACGCTATGATGAACAGTAAATGCAGTGCTTATGATGAGCAGTAAACAAATCATTTTTGTGTTGGCGACAATTTTCAAAATCGCTCCAGGGCCTTACCGTATACTAGTATTTTACATTTAATTTTTTGGTATTTTTAACATAGGTTTAATTTGTATTAAAAAGTGCTATCTGTAATATTTGGGCTTAATTAATATTTGAAATATGAAGCTTGAATAATATGGCGACCCAGAACGAGATTACACGGATTAAAATTCGAAAGAAATTTGAAGACAAATTAAAAATATAAAGTAAATTAAAAATATAAATGCAAGGCTGCTATAACGTTTTGCCAAAAATACACTTTCATATCTGCTAAATGACCTACAAATTGATGCGGAGCAGCTTAGTTTTGATTTTGAGCATGAAACATGCCCAAATCAAAGAGTTTGAACTCAGCAAAATGTACCGCAGTTGTTTACATAAACTTATAAACCAGTTCACAATTCTTATTACATAAACGTGTTTACATAATCAGGTTGGCGTTGTTTACAGTTTTCGAAAACATAAGAAATCCTCAAAATGGAAACAGATTTCGCATTTCCTTTGCGTGTAATAATCAAATTTTATGGTACACTTTGTAACTACGTGAATAAATGCCTAGAGAATTTTGATAAAAAATATCTTAAAACTAAACAGTTTAAAGAAATCAATTTTTGTTAAAAAGTTTCTTACAGGTAGAGATAAAATTTTAATTCAGAGGGACATAATAGTAAACTCATGGATGTTTTGAATGTTTTATTATTAAGTAAATTGAATATAATTCTGTTTAATTGCAAGGTTCATTAATCAAATATGAAATGGAAAAGAAGGAATCTCTGTGTGAATATTTTTTAAATAAGGGTGGAATATGTGCTGGGAATAATATCGAATGTGCATCTTTAATACAATACATAATTAATAGGATAAATGATACACAGCTCCCAATTAAGCTTTATTATATGGATGTAAAACTTAAGGTGAGTAGTAAGGTGAGTCTTAAGGTGACAATGTTAAATTGGCTATTTTCGATGTATCTTTTCTCAAAATCTGCTGTAGATACACGTTTAAAATCTGTTGAGTAATACACGTTTGAAATCTGTCTGTACACCTATCTAATTATACTGAAATGAACTTTTGAAACAGTTTGAGTGTTAGATTAATTTATAGAATATTGTATTAGATATAGTATATATTTAGCACTTTTCTTCCAAACGAAATTTGCGAAAACGTTTTTCTCAGTTTATCACAAAACGCTCATTTCAGTAAATATCAGGAAACATAATAAATAACACATAAAAATTTACATACCTGGGCGAAATAGTTCCTGAGAAAAGTTACATCAAGTAGAAAAAAAATCACATTTGGAGAAAAATGCGTTTTTGTGTAAAATTCCACATTTATCAAAGCATTCGATGATGAATTAGAACCAGATTTTTCACAGTTCTAATTTTCACACAGATTAAAGTATGGTATTTTTAGAAAGCTAAATATGAAGACAATTTGAAAATGCAAAAACCCCAAACCACCATTTTTTGAAGATTTTTGGCTTCCAACACCCTTTAAAAGTATTTCAAGGTAAGCTCAAAATATAGTACAGCTTTAAGTACAATAATGAGAAGCTAAAGTGTGTTAAAACCAGAAATTAATTCCAACAGTATTAAAAGGAATTATTCAAAGTCAACTTCTTAGAGATGATTCAGTTGCGAAAGCATGAATCATATTGACTCCACATGTACGGATGAAATAAAACAGCTGTTTTAAATACAATCCATATGAACTTTAGAGTAGAGTACAAATGAGTGAAAATTTAGATTGACTATATGTGTAAATATAGACTTTTAAAAAACATGATTAACGTTCAAAATTGCTTCGCACTTATTTACGAACGGGATGCAGTTTAGCGTCAAATGTTGGTGCGAAATCAAACTAGATGGCGGCAACCTTAAGGATACATAAGATTTTATTAATAAAATGAATTTATAATAAGAGTAAATTATCATATAAAATATATCATGTTTAATTTGCACAGATCCGAATCTGTCAGTTCTGTGTTGTTTTCTAAGTAAAAAAAGACCGAAGATCACTGTGTACGTGGAGAGGACATTAATCTTAAAGTACACAAAGATCGGTTTTTCCCTTAGAAAAATCAAAGAATTGCAAATATTCGGCAATGCGCACAGTCAGGCCATTGCGCTCTGTCATCGTTGCACAGTTATTAATGATGCGGCTACCATATTTGATGCTTTGACACAAATTTCACCTGAAAACGAATGTACCTCAAAGTCTCTGAAAAATTTCACCGTTACATCAACATTACTATTATTAAATGAAATATTTAAATTCCTATTCTTACCGTATTTGATGATTCTTATGCTACAGATTTAACTCACATTCTGAATGAAAAACAGCGCTATGAGGTGTTAGATCTAGTGAATACCTGCAAGCGGCTAAAAACAGAAATTCCAAAATTTTAGATCAGTGATATACTGTGAGATAATATAAAAGTTATTACAAAGCGACTGTACTCATACCCGTTCTGCTTGGCGTATTTTTTTTTAATTTGATATATGCGTTATATGGACCACGATGAAAAGAAAAATGCAGTAAAAAATAATACTTCAAATTTTGACTGCCAGGTGAAATAGTGTCAAATAAAGAACAATAAACGTAACCTGGAAATATGAAATTTTATTTACTAAGATCATTTGCTCAGTTTGCATTCTTATTGCGTCAATCACATGTTATACTATGCTCAACAGTAGCGCAAAGGCTTTCTTGAGGAATTGCAGCTACGTGATACTTGCTTTCAATTCCTTATTTGAGCCTGTATATTTCCTCCATTGACACAATCCTTCAGAAATACGAATAACGTAAAAGGTTTCTTCAGAAATTGCAGCAACATGAGTGTTATGTTGGCTTTCAGTCGGTATACTTCCTCTATTGACACGATCCTTCAGAAATACAAATGATCAGAAATCACAAAGATTCATCATCGGAGAACGAAAATCCAGGTATGCAGATCACTTCTAAAAATTAACCGATCATCTCTGAAATTGAGTATGACTTGCTGCTGCAGAAGTACGCAGCAACAGCAACTCATGATGTATCTTTTAGGGTCCTGAACAGTACTCTTTTCAAAGAAAGAGAAGTCTAAAATGTAGTTAGCATTGAATCCACGCCATGCAGCCACCTAATCAGAAAGCAAGCAAATGTTGTACATGCACAACATTAGGACTTGAAATTGCTCTATTTAGAGCAAAATGCACAACATTAGGACTTGAAAATGCTCTATTTAGAGCAAAATACGCCATGTCTGAGCACAACATGTTCCAAGTCCTAAATGTTCTAAGGACGTTGACAATTGTCAACGCCTATTCTCGTCAAAAACCGACAAGAAGAATCAGAGCATTGGAGTGTATTTTTGAAGATTTTTTGCGCCATGCAGATCTTGTATGGCTACCATTTAAAATGCTTCGCAAAAGCTTTCGTTCCTTCCACCACGGTAGACAAAAGCATGTGGCACCGCTTGAACGCTTGTCGAAGAATAAGGCGAGCATGAAGCTCTGTCAGTATCGGCTACAACGGCTTCTATCACAGTATCGCTTAATTTTTTTTTTATGTTTACTTTCTTGCAGTACATTCAACTGATCAGTTTCTTCAAATTTAGCAACCATCTTTTTTAAACCATTCTTCCTCATAGACTCTTTCTGCAAGTTCTTGAAAAGCCAATATTCTCCCGGTACAACTAAATTATTACTGAAGTTTTTACAAAACATCTTGACTAGTAATGCCCGATATTGTTTCATGTTAAGGCATGGTGAAAGATGATTTTAGGGCATTGATTAGTAGTATTTTAAAGTGTTCCGAATTCGCAGAATATCTTTCCTACGTTGCATGAAATTTGAAACATTACATTTCACTGTAGTTTTATGGTTCATATAACGTATACGTCACGTTTCAGGGAAAATGTTTATGAATAAAACGAAATTCTGGTACTTTTCGATTGCTTAAGAAAACTGAGTCATATTTTACAATTTCTAAACCCTAAACTTATTTACTAAGTTAATCTGAATCTCTTCATTTTTAATTAGAATAGTGAATGGTATTTGTGAAATTGAAAGAGATATTAAGTACAAAGCTAGTCTTACATATATTACAGTCAGGAACACTAATAAAAATATACACAAATGTTAGTAAGCATGGTTATAAGGCATTACGGTTCCAAGAATTCTAGTAAACATTTATGTTAGGCAATATTTTTACAGGCGTCAAAAGATGGCAAGTATCAACCTATGCATTACATGACTAAGAAAACTTCACCACTGACTAAGAAAACTTCTATCCTCTTATATCTTACTTTACTTTTAAATATTTCTCCTTAACTTGATGCTTTGCTTTGTTTCCGAATTTGTTATTATATAATGGTATACATGTTCGAATTAAAAATAAATAAATAAATAAATAAAAATTTAGAGATATACTAAGATCTAAATGACAGCAGATTCCTAACATTGGTTCGCAAGAAATGTAAACAAACGTAGTTATTACTTACACTGTACGCTAAGCTTAACGTTAGCTATCCTCGGGTGATATGTTACAGAATTGGAGGCCTCGCAACGATAGATGGCGTTGTTGTCAGTTTTGTCAACGGTGAAGGTGTGTATGTTCGTCACTTCTCGCCCACTTGTGCTGAAAGACATATCCACTTGTACGTTGTCACGATACCAAATGAGCTCGGCTTGAGGATTACCGCCTCTTGTTATGCAAGCCAGAGTTAAGGTATCTCCGACTTGGACGATGTCCCCTTCTTGATAGCCTTCGATTTCAGGTATACCGGGGGGATCTGAAAGAGGAATTATTGATGTAAATACAGCAAATGTTATTTGTAAGCAATAAGGTCCCAACATGATAAGAATATTTTTTTCTAATTGCATGAAACATAATGTCTATTTATTGCTTTTAGTGCCTTAGCCTGATTTCTATAAGTCATGGCTTTTTATTTAGAATCGAACTCAAGCCAATTCCAAAAGAGATGGTGGGTAAATTAATAGGTCAGTCTCTCCCTTTCTCTCCCTTCCTCTTACTCGTTGTTGACAAATAGCTCCCGGAAAATGTATATCCTAACCTACTGAATTCTAACAGCAGAAAATATTTAACAAGATACATAGTTGATATATAATAGGGCAAGTCAGGCCATTACTTAATAGTCTTAAAGTATTAAGACATTGCAATTTACATATATGCAACTTTTGTATTAAAATTTTATAACCGGTAGCCGTCTTATGTAATTTTAGACTTGCATAGCAAAATACCATCAAATATTCAAAGACTGTACTTTCTGCAGACTTTTTCCTCCGACCGCAAAGCATGTGCAGTCACATATAACTAAGCGAGTTCAATTAAAATTGTGTGTTCAAATGGACGCTATATACAATAAGTGAATGCGGAGCGAATCTTAGTCAGTATTCACTATTTAAATAAGAAAACATTTTCCCCCCTAGTGAAGGCACATGATATGTAACATTAACTATATCTCTGTTATAGATTTTAAATTTTATAAAAATCATAAATTAGACATATTATGCCATATGCAAGGTGAAATTACTGTAAGCACTTTATTCGTGATACTGACACAACTTTTTTAAGTAGTTATTTTTAGTACTGATAAGCACTGCGCCTTTATAGTTTTAAGGTCAAAATATATTTAAAATAAAGTTATTATAAAGTTTGAAATTGCTCCTAAATTGTTCAGTCTGTAGAACTATTACTGAATATGAATATAAATTTTGCAGGTCTAACTAAAGAATTTATTACAAAGAAAAATTAACAGCTTTCAAAACTGGCAATAAACGTAATGTCTGGAATTATAAGCACTAAAATCACATATGATTTCTTCACGTAACTTGACGTGTAATGTGTTATACTATGCTACAGACTATTTTGGAGTCAACACTTTTAATCTTACATAACGAAATGGGTGTTTTATATCTCAAATTTCTGGGAAATAATTTAATCAATATCAGTTTTACATTTCATTAAAATGTTTTTTCCTGGTGCGGTGAAACGCCAGAAAATAAACGAAGAACCAGCAATTTAAACCAAGTAACCAATTTCAGATTTAATTGAGAATGAAAAGAATCAATAAAATGAATAAGCAGCTAATTATTAATAAACTTTCAGCCTCTACTGAAAGGCATCAAACAAATATATTTCATTACTTTACATATAGATTTCATTACTTTAGATATATGTTTCCAGACCCGGATTTAGACTTCATAAGGCCCTAAGCTATTTGATATATTTTGTTCCTAATGGTGGACACTTGCCTATGTCGGCATCGGCCAATCCTAAGGCCAGATCGGTGGCCCCTTTATTATGGAGGCACCTAATAGTTGGGCCACCATTGCATCCTATGAAGGGACAGGCAACATTTATATACATGTATTTTCAAGGATTCGAACCCGGGCACTTCGGTATCGCAGACGGTATAGTGGTTAGAGGAGTCTAACCACTATACCGTCTGGGCGGCAATATTTGGGATATGGGCCCTTTATAAGTTTGTGTGTTTTACTATATTTTAATACTATATTTGTACAATATTTAATTTTGGGGGGTTAGCTCCCAACAAAGTGGGGGCCGTAAGCTATAGCTTGTGTAGCTTTTACATAAATCCTGCACTGTATGTCTCCTACAAAGAATAGATAAAGTTACTTTCAATCTAGAGTTTTATTCTGTTACCCTAGGAATAAGAAACGCACATCAGAGCTTTCTCGTCGAAGACTGTAACTTGATTTAAAGATTTCCGATGATGACCATCAGCATCTATATAAAAATAACAATATAAATATGTTGAGCACAATTTTTCCGCTGAAAGGTACCATCTGCTACAGTATTTGAAAATACTTCAAAGAAAAATAATATAAATATATATATAAGTTTTGAGTAAAACATTCGCGGAAAATTGGCCTGCTAGATTGCCGGTTGGCTTTACTTATAACTCGATAAAGACGAAACACTTTTCGTATTTACGTATTTTTATCAATTATTGTTCGTTGAACGGGAGTTGGTTTGTTCCCCTTGAAAGTCAACTAATTTCCGATCAATGACAATAATTACATGTTTTAATTTTCCTTTTACAATTGTAATTTATTCTTCATGATGTTTAATCTAGTCCCCGTTAAAACATTTTAACATTTTTGCTTTCAAATTACTTCAAACATCTTTCAAAAATAACTTACCAGTATGGATGCACTCTTTTAAAATAAGTCTACTTTAAAAACTTAGGAGATATATATCAATTAATCAATATTGTTTAGGAATAATATAATATATATATATATATATATATAGTTTGGACGGAAATCGATGCCATTCATTAATACAGCAGTTGGAACTCATTATTCACTTGAATGGTAGTAAGTAGACTCATTATATCCTCTTTTGCATGGAGTACAGAAAAAAAACTATTTCCACTGAATTAAAAGAAGCACGTTAACTTAAAATTGTGACAATAATTAACCCCGCCTAAACAAATTTTGCACTTTGAGGTAATGTCCTAGATTCTGTTGAAGTGCCTAAAACATGTATAGAAATTATAATCTTGCCTAACGTTAAAGACATTAAAGTTATTGAAATTTAAGTAAATGTTTTATATTATAATTTAAGCTTCAAAATACTATAGGCTTTGAAAATTAGCTAACCACAATATTATAGTAGAAAAGGCGAAAAAGTGCTCATGATAGACGTATTCAGATTATTAATGTTTCCATTTAAAGATTTTTAAATGTTACCATACTTTTTTTATATTGGCTATACTATTTATATTTGGGATGAAAAATTACAAGGATATCCAGACACCTGTAAAAATTCTTACTGGAGTCTTTAAAAAAGGTAAACAAACTTTCGTTTATTTATTATTTTATTTTCTCTTCTGGTCTATTTATTCACAAAGTTTAAACTAACTCTGCATAAAAATAATAACTTATTATTTAAAAGCGCTGGAAAATATCAAAATATTTAATATAATTGTTCATTGATTTGAAGTTGAGGATGACAACAAATTGTAATGCAATTTGAAATGGAGTTCCAACTTTCAAGACTTGTAATTTGGAAAAAGGGTAAAATGCCATTCTCATATACTTAAAATTATGAGTTTTAAGATTCCAATAATACAATCAACAGGATTTTATAAGTCTTATTAACATTATCTAACTTTATGATTTGTATTCTACGAGTTGTTTTGATGTTAGTTTAAACGTATTATGAGATGAAGAAGATTTAATGCATGACTTGCCTACTATAATTATTAATTAATAGTACTTCAGTTATTATTTCCAGTGTTCGCAATGATGTCGGTGTCGTAGTTAATATGATTCAGAAAGGCTAAAAGAAAATGTTACTGTGATTTAGATGCACTTAGGAGATCAGCGTTTATCTTTATAAGTGATGTCTTTAAAAATGAAAAAATCAAAAGCATTCCAAGAGAGATCACTGAGCAGTTAAACAAATTAAATTCTGCCTGTGCACTGGACGTTTTAATATCAACACGGAGCTTAAAAATGTTTGGTTCCCTCGATGAGCTAAACAAGGTAAAATCAATACTGACTCATAAAAAAATATTCGAGGCAGATCATTGGGCATTGTAAACGAGGGTTGAATGTTGGACAGTACACAATTACGTTAGTTGATTATTTTAATTTAAAGCATAAATGAAAATCTTAAGCTTCCCCTCATCCCAAAGATATGTGTCTATAGTATGGAATCTGAATTGAGACATAATCTTACATACCTTGATTTAACTTATCTCAAATATTAGAAACTAGGGTGTGGGAAATGGTTTGAGCCAGAATTTTATTTTACGTATCTTAAACATTAATAACTAAGGTCGGTAAAGTGACTTAAACTAAAATCTTAGATACCTGAGTTCTGCCATTCTCATTCACATGAAATTCATACCGCAGTGCATTTCACGAGTTCGCTCATTCGATTCATTCGAGAATCGGGGACTCAATAGTAAATATATGTTTTGTGCCGATTTTTTCCATAATCACATACATTCTTACTAGCAAATTTGTAAACTCTAAGGTTTCATCCAGTATTATATTGTTTTTAAAATTTGATTGCGTAAATGTATGCTAACAATAGGTTTTTATCGTAATAGGAAAATCATTTAAGTTTTCCGATAATATATGAGGCTTATTTATTACTAAAGCCAAGCACACGTTTTAAAATTCAACAGTTCGCGATAAATTTTTAATAATATTAAACTGAAAATAATCCTGAATTTAAAAGATTGTTTCCAGTAACTTTGCAGCTGGACAAGCTGTTGAGAAAGCGAAACGAATATTATAAATTTCCTGACACGTTTTTAGTGATCTTTGTCTGCATGTATGTTTAATTAAAAAAATCTGATGTGTACACCACATGACTTCCTTGTATTGGAATATTAAATTTATACCATTTTTCTTGCATTCATTTAAAAATTGTTGGATAAAGAAATCTACTTCGCCGACGCGCATAAACACAATAGATAAATGCATTCTTTAAATAACCTAGTATTGTTTACCATGAGCGACATTCTGGAGCTAGATTCACTTAACAGTATAATAATTATAACAGTTACTTAATAATTATAATAACGTAAACTAAGTTAACGGTTCTATCCATAATTATATAACAGTTAACTTATATATTTCGTTCATATTATTAACTCAAATGCACAAAATTATATCATTTTAAAGATGAATTATCTAATCGTTGGATATATTCTATCAAATACTATAATAAAGCTAGAATGATGTATAAAAGAGATTACGCAAACAAAACATAAAAGAAACAGTTTTCAACGCGATGAGTATTTTCTCATTATTAATTCAGTTCTCACTTCGAGAGAAGGCAACCCTCCTTACAAACTGAAAATATTTATATAAAAAATACAAAGTAATCTCAAACCGCTGATTTCCTTGAAAAAATTCCAAAAAAGAATAAGCATGATTTAATTGACAAGAATAAATGAAGAGTTATCTTTGTTGTTGGGAAAGCTAGCGTTTCTATAGATTGGCAATATAAAATCCCACTAGTCTTTCTTTCCAATGTCAACATCAATTCTGCATTAAAAAAAGGATTAGCGCACTCGTAAACAACTTTAAAAATTGCTGATACTTTAAAAATACTGCACAAGATTTATAAAGGACATAAAATCCATTAACGAAGATAAAAACAACATACTGCAATCATTTTTTAAAGCAAAAAAAAAGTACAATTTACAACATATAAGAATTAAAGTGGTTGTGGTGTTGTTGTAGGTGATTTAATTTTGTGGCCAAGCACACAGGGCTATCTAGCCTAAGGGGGAGGGATGCCTTCGTGGCGGAATTTCTCCGGGAAACTGGCTCGTATACCGTTACACATGGGGAAACCACGAAAGAACCATGCAGCAAGCCGTTCGGGGATTCGAACCTCGGCCCGAACTACCATGTTCAGCGACATTAACGCTAGGCCGTGGTGGCTCATATATGAGTAAAGAAACTGAGCTCACTGAGAAGGGGTAACAGAAATATACGTTTGGTGCCGCGAATTGCCAACCAAAATATAAGCTGAACTACATGTTATAGTCGTCCATATACCAAATGCAAACGTTCTTGGGCTACTCGTTTTGAGTTATGCGAGGATACGTACGTACGACAGACGCACGAAAAAAGCCCTCAGAATTAATTTTAATGCAGTTTTATAATTTTTTTTGAAGGAAGAAAGAAGAGTATTTTATTCTGTCTCCACGTCCAGATATCACGCAAAAATACGTACAATATCGTTAAATTATAAAAATGACGTACAGAGATCGTTAAAGTGCATTCGGTAGCGATTCAAAATGGATTATATTTCATGAAATATGCTGCCTGAAACTTTTCGCGATTACAATACTTCCTTTTTACTTCGTACAAGGAAGTAAAAATGTAATTCTTTCTAATGCATTCCTAAACATTAGTTTAAAGATTTTTTATTTGAAATAAATTCTTTCAGCACTCAAATATTGTCAAGTCAATAAGAGAAACAGATTATGGCTTACTTCACATATGCAGAGCAATTTGCATGCATAATATTTCCACTGTAGCACTCAGCGATAAATTTTACATTATTCTTTTTTTCGATTTATTCTCTCGGAAAGTTTACATTTCTTAAATACTTTATGTAATCTTTTTTCTATACGATATTTAATTTTCCCTCCAGCGAATTTTATTTTTTTAAGTAATTCAAATATTCTAACATCAAAATGCAGTCAAAAAGGCTTTTGAATAAATTTAAAATTGTTCCTTGATGCATTTCTCAAACTTGCATTATCAAAACATTCTTCCTCATCCTTAGTATGGTAAAAATGTCTTCCGGCTCTTCAATTTCATCATTTCAGATTTTG